TATGCTGTGGCACCCACCTCGGAACCTCTGCAGAGCCTCCACCAGCCCCGGGACCCTGCACACCGTCCTCATCTCCATGGGCACCACCTTAGGCGGCTGCAGCTTCACTTCCTGGACCCTGGAGAGGCAGCCAGGTGTCACACCCAGGGTGGGCCCACCCGTACCCAACCACCTTCCCTGGGAAAGGCTGGAGTCCTACCTGCGCAGGGTGTCCATGATGTCCTGTGGGAGAGACATGTGGTGTCAGTGCCTGTCACATGGTCATGCCCTCTACCTCCATCCGTGCTGCAGTGCCCCCCACATGGTCAGAAACTGCCCCTGCAGCCTCACCTGCTCCCATCCCATCCCGCCCACAGGCATCTTACGCGGCCTCCATCAGCTGCCCTCCCTCATGTCCTCACTCAGAGCCCAACTTCCAAGTAAGGCCTCTCTGCTTAGGTGCTCCTTTCCCCCAAAATGATGCATAAGAGCATTTTATTCAGTGTCACAGGCTACTTGTAGCCCCAAAATCCACATGTTGGTGTCTTAATGACCAGGTCCTCAGAATGGGTCAGTATTTGAAGAATGGGCTTCCTAAAGAGGTGATGATATTAAAACCAGAGGCCCAGTGCATGAAATTCGTGCATGGGTAGGGTCCCTAGGCCTGGCCATTGATCAGGGCCGATTGGGGCCTTCTGGCTGACGGCCAGGGCCTTGGGGCCTTCCTTCCCTGGCTGCTGGCTGCCAGCTGGGGGCTTCCTTAGTTCTGTGCCACCTCCTGGTGGTCAGCACACGTCATAGAGAGCATGCTGGCCCAATTGCCCCTAACTGCCCTCCCCTGCTGGCCTGGTCACCCCTAACTGTTCTCCCCTGCAGGTCTGGTCCCCCCGCCCCAACTGCCTCCCCTACAGGCCTGGTTCCCCCGCAACTGTCCTCCCCTGCTGGCCTGACTGCCCACAACTGCCCTCCCCTGCCGGACATCTTGTGTCCACATGGGGGCGGCCATCTTTGACCACATGGGGGTGGCCATCTTGTGTATTGGGAGTGATGGTCAATTTGCATATTACCTCTTTATTAGATAGGATGAGGTCACCAGGGTGGACCCTAATCCTATATGGCTGGTGTCCTTACAGGAAAAGGAAATTAGGACACAGGTGTACACTGAGGCAGAGAAGTCTCAGGAGAACCAGCCCTGCCCACACCTGGATCTCAGGCTCCAGGACTGGGGGAAATAAACGTCTGTTGCTTAAGCCACCTGTGTCATTTGTTACACAGCCTGAGCTGACAGAGACAATCTGTTATTTGGAATGCCAGCTCCTGACAGTAAACAGCTTGTCTTTTTAGAACACTGCCTAGCACACAGCAGGGACCCAGCCCACTTTGTCAATCAAATGAACCCCACAAGCAGTCCTTCTAACCATACTGTGTACCACCTACCAGGCCATAAAGGATGAAGAGGGAAAGTAAGATATTGTGCCCAACGTGGGTTTCCTTAGGGGCAGGAAATTTCACACACAGTAGTTGATTCTCTCTGGGGAGCCTGGGGACCTGATAGGCCTCTAAAGAAAAGGGAGACTAGTGGGTTTCTGAAACCTGAGGATTCATCAGGAGAAACAGAGACAGTGCAGGCCTGGGAGAGGGCCAGCATGCAAAGGGCCAGGTGCAGAGCAGTTAGAAACAGCCATCCTTACTTATTTTACTGGGTAAGGGGAAGTGGGGGAGGGGATAGTCTTGGTTGTCACAAGGTCTGGAGCTGCCCTAACCACTTAGGAGAGGGATGGAGAAAAGGCCCCTGCCCAGGGGTGGGGAGGGGGCCTGAACCTTGAAGGAAGTTGACCTCTGTAGAGATGACCTGGCCACTCTGGGCAGTGGGGACTAGATACACACCCCTTTAGGAAAATGCTCTGTACCCACAGAGGGTGGTTACGGGGGAATCCTGGAGGGGCACCCAGGACCCCAAACTCTGGTGTAGCTGGGGCCCTGGGATAAGTCACTCAGAGTTCTGCTTCTTCCGTTTCCAATGGGGCTCCCGGACAGGTACCAACAGCGGTTCTCAGTGGGGTTTGGGATTCATATCTATTCCCCAGACAGTGGCATGTCCATAAGGCCCTCACCAGTCCCAGTCCTCACCCCAGTATTTCACAGGTAGGACACAGGACATCCAGAAGAGGACAAGCTCAGAGAGCTTGCTCCACCGAGGGCTTCCTTCCTGCTCCCGGGTCTGCACCCCTTCCCATTAGAGCCCCTGTGTGCCCATTCCAGGCATGTGCTCACCTGCAGCAGTCCCAACGCCGGCAGCTGGCAGCGCCCCTCCAGCTCAGCGACAAGATCGGCTAGCTGCGCACTCTGTTGCCCAAGGCGGACAGCGCTCTCCTGCAGCGGGGGCAGCACCTCCAGCTCCTCCTCCTCCAGCCTCTGCAGAAGCCGTTGCTCTTCTTCTGCCAGCAGGCGGCGCAGCCGCTCAAACTCTGCACGCACATTCTGCCGCTGGCTCTCCACCATTTTCTATAGGGGGCATAGGGGGGGACAGTGAGCTGGGCACCACAAACCCACCACCAGGGCTCCACACACCACCCATCCCCCACCCAAACTCACCCCGGGGGTTGAGGGTCTGGAGCAGGAGTGCTGCGTTATGAGGAGCGTTAGTGTGAACAGCGGCATCCAGCAGTGGGGGGCACCAATGCCCCACCTCCCCACCCCTGGGACCTCAGCGCCCAGCCACCTGCCTGCCACAGGGCACAGGTCTCCTCCGCCTGAGCCTGAAACAGCAGGGCATCTTCCATTTGCTTCTGCAGGTGGTCCAGGGACTTCTCCAGCTTGCCCTGCAAGGAAGTGAGGGCAGCCAGTAAGCCCACTGGGCCCTGTCCCTATTCCCACCGCCCAGCCCCACATAATGGATTGAACAAACTGAATCTGCTAGGAGATGCCCTCTTCCTGGGATGCCCTCCCACCACCCAGGCTGACCCAGCCACTAGCCCATGTTTTTCCTTTCTCCAGCCTTCCTGCCTTCCTTCCTCTCCCGACCTTCCCAGCCTGAATCCCTACCTCATCGCAGCCTTCTTTCCTGTGAATCCCTTCACTTCAGTGCCTGTCCTGAGCTTGCCAAAGTTCAGCTTCATCAGAAGGCGCCAAGGGACACTCACACTTGGATCCAGCTGCCTTGAGCCTGACCTCAGGCAACACCCAACTGTTTACTTCAACCCTATCTGCTTGCTGGGGCATCCCCAGCATTAAGACAAAGTAGGCACCAGTACAGTGTGAGGGAGAAATAGCAGTTGTGTAAGAGCCCTCTGCCCTCCTCCTTCTGCCTAAAGGCAGGACATGAATTTCCCAGAAGGGTGGCCACCCTGTACCAGGAAGGGGGCACACACTCCACCAAAGATGAGGTGTCATCCCTGAATGTGCTGAACAGACCTTACTAAAATAATGCCAGCCTTCCAGTAGTTCCCCCATATCATTTCCTAGTTCCTTTCCCACAAGTTATTGGCCCTAGCAGCCCAAACCCTTTCCGTTGTCTAGTCACTTCTCCACAAGTTATCATCCTCTGTTAAAATGGAATATAACCTCTTAAGTCTAAGCACTCGTTTTGGTTTTGCACTCTTCTACGAAGTCATTGTGCCGTATGAAATTTAAGACTAATAAAACTATGTCTTTTTATCTGTTCAGATTAACATTTGTCAGTTTAATTTGCAAGTCTCAGTCACTGAACCTAACAGGCTAGAGTAAAAGGTTTTTCCTCCTCTACAATAGAGCTAGTGCTGCCCTCTGAGACTATCAGGTCAGCTACAAGGAGCCCTTAGAGGGCTGGTGGTCACTCTTCACCTCACCGCCACTTTCTGCACCCTGATCCGGGTGTTTGGTGATAGGAGTGCAAACCTGCTCGACGTGAGTAGACAGACATTCCTGCAGGCATGTAATACCCCCAAGTGAGAGGAAAATCCACAGAAATCCATGTCGAGAATGGATCATGGAACAGGTTTATTCCGGTACCCCACAGGCTTGTTCTATGACAGTGACCTGCTGGCCAAGTATTAACTCTAATGCTGACTAAATGCTGTACATGGTGTGCCCCAGCAAACAGACACACACACCCGCTACTGGCCGTGAAGCAAAATGCAAGCCAGTCACAAAGTTTGAAAGATGCCACCCATGCATCAATACCTGGGTTCCGGAAACAAACCCTGCTAAGGCAACAGGCCAGGTGAGCTGTTTGCCCCACAGCGGAGCGGGTAGTGCTGGTGTGAGTTTGGGTTTTAAGGAAATGCGTTTCCAGGACAGGAAAACAAGGCTTCTCAGCCTGAGATCTAAGCACAGCTGAGCTCGGGTGTGTCAGACAGCAGTGGTGGCCCCAAGCAATCCACTCAGAAGCTTGCCGGGCCCTGGCGTCTGCCTCCCGGAGTATTTTCTCACCAGGACTTCAGCACGGGCCCTGGCCACTGCACCCCCTCCCACCGGAGAGGAGTCCTCATTCGTCCCACCTGAAGGAAACCACCTCTGCTGTTTTCCCACTTTCTCCCGCGCTGGACTCTATCCCAGCCACCGTTCAGTCACCCCGTCCCAGTGCCCGCCCCAGACGGTGGGCCCCACCATCACAGCGGGACCTTGGCCTCAGAGACCGCCTTCTCCTCCCAGGTCCCCACGCTGGCTCCCCACTGCGGAGTGGTGCCCCAAAGTGCCCCAACCCCGAAAATGCCGGTCTGGAAAAGGCTAAGCGCGCCCACCCCCCTCCCACCCCCC